ATTCAACAAATTGAAGTGTTTTACTATTATAGAATCAATAAAATAAAAACCATACAATCACTATTCAATTACCTATTGAAAAAAGTGTTTTTGTAAAACCAATTAATTGTTTGATAAGTGGTGTAGAAATACTTGTAAATTATAATGTTTCTTTAACTTTCTTATTGTATTCAAACCAAATACTCAATCATTCAACTCAACAATACTTCACTTCCTTCTTAGTGAAATAGAAATTAATTTTAAATACATTATTGTAATAGTAAATGATGTGATTGAATATAATTGAACTTATTTGAATTTTGTTGAGATTCAATTCATACGAAGTATTTGGACATTCAACAAACTTATCATTATACTCAAACACTTTTAGTAAATCTCATTCTTTTAAAACAAAAATGGATATAATTATAATTAAGCTCCATAGATAGTGAATGAATTTAATTATATTTAATTTTGATATAACATGATTCTATTATCTTCTAAACAACTATAAAAATAATATATAAAACAATATTAAAACTAATATATATAACAATATATCAATAACTAAATTAATCAAGAAATTAAAACAATACTTTTCAAACTAAATTTAAATAAAAGAAAAATTATTGTTATCCAAAACAATGAAATAAACAATAAAATAGGAAAAAAGAGTAACAATAAATAAAATGACTTTGTCATATTGTTTTTTATTTTCTCACTTTTCACTGAATAATGTCATTTTAATATTCAACTCCCTTAATGACAGACGAAAGTCTATTACTAACTGAAAAGGATCTTATTGTCAATGGAAAATATGACTTGGCTATTTTACAAAACCATTTTTCACATGGTGGGGTTATTGATCCAAACGCAGTGGTGAACCTCATTAACAAAGTGATAGTCTTACTAAATAAAGAACCAAATTTGATTCAAATAGAATCTGAATCATTGATTTTTGGTGATATTCATGGTAATTACTTTAACTTTATTAATATTCTTAATGACCCTCAATGGGAAAAATACCCTCACGTTAAAATCTTTCTTGGAGATTATGTTGATAGAGGCAAATGGTCAACTGAAACAATAATTACTTTATTATGTTTAAAGTATAATAATCCTGACAGGTTTGTTCATTTTTTTTAATTGAAGTATTTCATTTAATACTATCACTCATTATTTGGAGAAAGAGTTATAGAATTTATCAATAGTGTTGTTTTGTTACGTGGAAATCATGAGTCATCATCAATGACTCATGTTTTTGGGTTTGAAACTGAATGTTTGTGGAAGTACAATAGAAATGTATATTCAGAATTCATTAATTTGTTTAATTACTTGCCGTTGTGCGTTTTATTATTACAACCAATTGGTACATTCTTCCTTTGTCATGGAGGAATATCACCATCACTTCGCTATCTCAGTCAAATACTTCGCATTAATAGATTTAAAGAACCACCAGAAGATGGATTATTTTGTGATTTATTATGGTC